TGGTGCAATCCTCGGTCCCCACCTCCTGAAAAGGACAAATGAGTACTATAGTAGTTAAATTCATAGAGACACAGAGAGTAAATAGTGGCGTAGGGAAGTGGGGGTGGAGGCGTGCAATGGGGAGTTATTTCTTAATGGGGACAAAGTTTCAATTTTGTAGGATAGGAGTTCTGAGGATTTCAGGGTGTGGTGACATACAGCTGTAATCCCAGCACTCAGGAGACTGAGGCAGGAGGATTGCTGTAAGTCTCAGGCCAGCCTGAGCTACACAGTGAGGCCAGCCTAAACTGGCCTCACTGAGTAAAAGCTTGTCTCAGGAAACCAAATTATGTGGTGGTGCACCCCTGTAATCCCAGCACTCGGGAAGCTGAGGCAGGAGGATCATCATGAGTTCAAGACCAGCTGGGGCCAGCCTGCTGCATAGGGAGACCCTGGTTGGAAGGAAGGAAGGAAGGAAGGAAGGAAGGAAGGAAGGAAGGAAGGAAGGAAGGAAAGAAGGAAGGGACGGAGGGAGGGAGGGAGAGAGGGAGGGAGGGAGGGAAGAAGGAAAAAAAAATTTAAAAAGAAAAGTTCTGGAGATGGTGGCAGTGACGGTTCCATAACAACGTGAACGTAACTAATGTCACTGAACTGCAGAGTTAACATGGTTAAAAATAATCCATTTTATATGTTCTGCATGTTTCACCAAAATAAAAACTTAACACGCAAGTTTAATTTCAGTAATATTGATATCAATAAATTAAAAATGTCAGTTCACCACGTAATCAATTGTTTAAATCACGGAGATTCTTGTCCTGTACCATACTGGCCTTGGAAATCTGGTGTGTAGGTTACAGTCACAAGACATCTCCATCCGGGCTCTCCAATGTTGCCAGCGCTCCATGGCCACCCGGGGCTGGCAGCCACCCCACAGGCAGTGTTGATCTTCAACCCATCTGTGAAGATCTCTGCGGCTCCCCCACACCACAGGCTCTTGGGCATTTGCCTGGCCATCTGCCAACCGCTGCGCCCACAGCCCGCAGCGCAGGGCCAACGCCTGCGTCTCAGACATCCTCAGAGAAGGCGCTTGCCAGCGAGCAAGTTGATTCCAAATCTGATTTGACCTGTAAATCTCGTTTCTCTCTTGCAAGCGTGTGCACCTCAAAGTGCACTCAGATAGTTATCTCAAAGTCGGGGAGGCGAGGGGCTGGCCCGGAGGGCCCAGAGTGCTCCTCCTCCTGCTTCTCCTGGGCCTCTTCCTCCTCCTCTTCCTCAAAGTCGCTGCTCTCCACCTGCTCCTCTTCCAGGATGGTGACCAGTTCCTCCCGAAGGGCACCCATCTCCAGGCCCAGGCTGCACAGCTGGCCTAGCAGCTGGACATCCACTCGGCGCAGGTTTCCCTGAGGGAAAGAGGGATGTCACAGCCGCCACCCAGAGGGGGAAGGGGCCAGCAGGCCCTGGATGGGAGCTGATTCCAGCTCAGGGCCTGGCCCTGCAGCCCCAGGGCAGGGGCCTCAGCGCGCACCTGCCGGGGTATCTCAGGAGCACGCCTGCGTCTCTCCATTCTCTCCCTCATTCTTTCTCTGTTTCTTCGTCTTCCTATGTCCTGTCTTCCTGTCTGTCTCTGTTTCTGTTTCACCATTTCTCTGCCCTTTCCCTAGCTCAAATTCAGTTTGACTCTGTCTGTAGGCATGTTCTCAGTCTGATTTCTACCCGGCTCTGAGTCTCAGTCTCCATTTCTGTCCCTCACTCTGTCCCCACCTCTATTTCTCTGTTCCTCCTGGTTTCTGTCTTTCCATCTCTAGCCCTTTGGATTTCCATTCATTCATCCATTCTCTCTCCTCCCTTGCCTCTCCGAGCCCCTCACTCACCAGCTCCTGCCAGATCCACAGCAGGCTCTCGCTGGCGCCTCCAAGACTCACCCCTGTGGACATGAGGGTCTGGTCAGGGCTCTCCTCTGGAGGGGCCGCCCTCAGGGCCCGAGGGGGTGGGCCCAGTCCTGGGGGCTCCAGTCCAGCCTGCTTCAGCTGCTTCCACAGCTCCATTGTCTCATCCCCAGCCTCCAGAACCAGGAAGTAGCAAGGTCCAGGGTGACCCAGTTCCCTGGGAGCTGGGGGGAGGGCAACGAAGGGGACCAGGCAGATGCATCCCAAAGTCCATACTTCACTTAGAATCAGCTGGCCGCTCTTTTATTTCTTCCAACCTCTGCCCCTGTGGAGGCCAAACTCCACTCTCCTGCCTCTTCTCAGGCCTGCCCCTCACAGGTGCTGCTGTCTGCAGTGTTGTAACTCAAAAACGAGGTTTAAAAAGCTCTTTATTTTAGCTGGTAACCAGCGGCAACACCCAGCACAAAGTGCCTAAGTGCGCACCAAAGGGGGGCAGCGTGGGGTTTATAAAACTTAAAACCACAAAGCAGGCGGGGTACAACTCGGAGTTCAAGGAGACATAGCAGCTGCTGAGACTAGATATGGTTAGGGGTCTGGAGAAGTTCTTGGAATTCGAGGGTGGGGTGAGGGCTTACAGCGACGGCTTGCAGAAACAGAGGTTTTGTGAGATAGGCACATTTTACAGCAGCTGACATGGTTCACTAAGACGGCGTATACAGAACAGGATGGCAGCGCTTTGGTCAGGTTATAACATGCAGCTGCCCAGCTTCCCTTCTCCTTGCCTCTCCAGGGTCCTGCTGCCCCACCAGCCCCTCCTCAGACTCCTCGGCTGAACTTTCTCCACTTGACCTGAGGTTTGCCTGCATCCCAGGGCCTCTCACCAGTGTGCCCCGCTGTCCAGGCTGCAGGCTAGCGTGCAGTGGCCAGGTCCACTGAGCCTGCACCTGTCATGGCTGTTAGCAATGTCAGGGTGTGTCTTAGTTACTCTTCTCTCATTGCTGGGACAAATACCTGACACTCAAAATGAAGGAAGGAAAGGTCTATTTGGCTCACAGTTACTGGAGGTTTCATCCATATTCAGCGGGGTCCAGGCAGAGCAGCACACAGCAGAAAGCAACCTTTCAGGCCAGTGGCAAGGAGCAAAAGCGTAAAAGAGAGGGGTAGCAGCAGCTCAAGCAGCTAGCTTCTCTTCCCACCTTATGTTATAAGGAAAATTACCTGCCCCAGGGCAGGTGCAGCATCCACACCCACAGTAATGAATCGCAAGCTCCAGAAGCCGCCCCAGGACTGCATGAGGCTTGGGACACCTAGACACAAACAGTAACAGGGTGGCCCTGATGTGCAAGAGGCTGGGAGAGCTTCCAGTCTCTCTGCCTCTCCCAAGCCCAGCGGGTTCCCGACTATCTTGAGCTCCAGTCCCTAGCTCAGCTGCTCCATGAGTACATCTCATGAATCTCAAAATCACATGGCCAATACAGACCTCTCAATCAGGAGCTACTGCGTGGGATTCAGTTCCTGCTGAGACTCTAAGAAACTACCATGGGTGGCACATGCCTGTAATCCCAGCACTTGGGAGACTGAAAACAGGAGGATCATTACGAGTCCTGTCTGTGTAATGAGACCCTGTACTAAATACATTAAAAAAGAAAGAAAAAAACTACCATGATTGCTGAATCTTAAAGCAAATGTTATCAGGCCAGGGAGATAGCTCAGCAGCAGAAGCGCCTGCCTGGCAAGCGCAAGGTCCCAAGTTCTGTTTCTGGTACCGCCAGAAAAAAAAAAAAAAAAGTGACCCTTGTGCATGTAGCTGTGGAGGTCAGAAGTCTAACAGGCACGCAGGCTACTTCCTCCTGTGGGCTGTAGGGCACCGTCTACTTCCCAGTCTTTCCCAGCCTCTAGCAGCCACAGCTTTCCTTAGCTCATGGCACCTTCCTCAGATCACGCTGACCTTTCACCGTCGTCCAGTCTCCCACAGGGCCTGACCCCCTCGCCTTCTTGTGAGTACACGGTCCCTACACAGTTATCCATGATAATCCTCATATCCCAAGATTTTTAACTTCAGCACGTCTGGAAAAGTCCGTTTCACTATATAAATCAATAGGGCCACAGGTTCCAGGGACATGGATACCTGGGGTGAGGTCCTTCTGCCTAGCATCCCACCCTCCCAGACCTGCTGCTTCCTGTATTCCTCTGTGTCCACCGGCGACAACAGGATCTTTTCAGTTCCTGAGGCTGGCGCTCCCGCCTTCGTCATCACTGCCCGTTCCTGTTCATCTACAGCCTGGCTATTGCGATGGCCTCCTTACTGGTTTCCTGCATCCACCTTGTCCTCTAAGATTCATTTTTCACCTGGCAGAAATGATCTTTTTGGACAGGTGTGGTGGCACATGCCTGTAATCCCAAGCGCATGAGAGGCTGAGGCAGGAGGCTCCCTGAAAGTTCAAGGCCACACAGTGAGTTCAAGACCAGGTTGAACCACATAGCAAGTAGCTTTAAAAAAAAAAAAAATTCAAAATGTAATTCAAATATTGACACTCCCCTCTTCCCACTGGAACAGAATAAAATCCTACCGCCTGCCCACCTCTCTGAACCAGTCTCCTGCTTCTCTCTCTAAGCTGGCTGCCCCCAGGACCTTGGCATTAGATGCTGCCTCTGCCCAGGACTCCTCCCCGAGAACTCTGAATGGCTGTTTCCTCATCTTCACTTCCACTTCACTGTCACCTCTTCAGAGAGGCTTTTGCCGACGGCCCTATGCCGCAGACACTCCCTGTTACAGTGCCTGTTTTTATCTACTTCTAATCAAACCCTGCCTGAAATCATCTTGTTCATACTCTCGTTGCTTATCCATCCTTCCCCTGCCTGGCAGGCTGACTTCTGTAGCACAAGCTGGCTCTTTCCTCTTCACCAGCGTAACCTCAGAACAGAGCTGTCACCCTGTGGCAGTCAGTATCTGCGGAATAAATAAATAACTCCATCCAAAGACATTGAGGCCAGGGAGATGGCTCAGTAGACTAAGCGCTTCTCTGGCAAGCACAAGGGCCTGAGTTCAATCCCCTGTTCCGCCAAAAAACAAAAAGAAAGACTCCACATCGAGATCTGTGGGTGCAGCAGTGCTCTAGAGCCTCTCTGTAACTTTTTCTGAGCTTCCAGCCTGGCTCCATCTCCCTTCTCAAGTTTCTGCATCCTAGAGGAGGCAGTAAAGATGAGAGACCAACAGGTGCTGACTGGGTGACTCCGAGGTAGCTTTTGTTTTTATTTCCGTGGCGCTGGGGATCAAACTCAGAACCTTGTGCGTACACGGCAAGCACTCTACCACCGGGCTACCGCCCCAGGGCTTGTCCTTATTTTTTGGAAACATTTTTAAATAGCTACTTCAAGGACTTTGTCGGATAATTCCAAATGTACCATGTCAGCA